TAGTAGCGTTCTTGTTCCTAGTAGTAAGGCCAGGAGCCCCTAGTAGCCTGCAAAATATTAGCATAGGACCAGGAGCATTCCTGTAATTATTCATTTTGTTTAGCACGATTTTGTTCTGCTGGTTGGTCCTTGCCAAGGCTGGGACGTTCTTCGGTGACGGATCATCTCTGGTGGCGATCCCTCTACGGCGACACGGAGATGCACACCGAACACGAACACGAAAACCACGTGTTAAAAAATGCCACTAGGAGCAAAGGGCATCGCTAGTAGGAGCAAAGACGCTACTAGGGGCTCCTAGCATCGCTACTAGGAGCAAGGACGCTACTAGGGGCTCCTGGCCGTACTACTAGGAGCAAGGACGCTACTGTACTAGGAGCAAGAAACTACTAGGTTGGAGGCCAATCGCTAGTAGGGTTGTGATGCAATCAATATGTTGTGATGGTTGGGCGATGGGCTTAAGGAGACAGAAATAGAACGTCACAAGAGCAATACGAAACAACATGAAATGGACACGTGGAAGTCAAAAGGGGTGAGAACTGAAAAACGGAAGAAAGGCCTACAGGTATAAAGACAAAAGAGAAGAAGAAAATAAGAGAAAAGACATAGAGAGAGTTCGTACAGGGATCTTTATGGGCACTCTTTAGAAGGAAATTCTGTTGAATGTGAATTAACTACTATTCTTGATGTTTTTTAAATGAATTTGAATGAATTGTTATTCTAGGAACAAGAAGCTACTAGGGGCTCTTGGCCTTACTACCAGGAGCAAGGACGCTACTAGGGGCTCCTGGCCTTACTACTGGGAACAAGAATTGTTGGATATTCTTTTGAATTTGAGTTGTTTGCCACGTATGTTGCTCCAAAAGCCATCGCAGGATCAGCTGCGCGTCATGGGACCTGCAGGATTCGTGGTTTGGCGATCCACCTACTTTAGCTCCTCGACAGACAACTTGTGATGCCCTTTGTTACTAGTAGCGTCCTTGTTATTACTAGTAGCAAGTGCCACGCTAGTAGTAACAGGTACCTTACTAATAGTAGTAACAAAAAGCTATTAGAAACAATGTTCGCTACTAGGAACAAGTGCATCGCTAGTAGTAACAAGTGCCTTACTAGTACTAACAAAAAGCTATTAATTTAATTCTAATAGCAAACATTGTTACTACTAGTAAGGCACTTGTTCCTAGTAGCGATGCACTTGTT